TGCAAATGAAATGCACATGATGACATGATATGCAATGCACGACACGCAAGCAATGACAAAGCAACAACAGCAAATAACAGGAAGACACGTGGCACATCGGTCTCGGGGCGTTACACTCGCCCCGAGCAGCACCACTCGAGCCGCTTGCTTGCCGGCCGCGGCCCGCTCCGGATGTGGCGCCCGCGACCCCGCCGCCTCGGATCTGGCGCCCATGAGCCCGCCGTCGTCTGCAACGGCCACCGGCGTCCACGATAGCTCGTCCCCGATCCGCGGTCGCCGTCGTCCATCAATTTCGTGGCCAGAGACCACCCCAAGCCCCACCACCTTGTCTGGGAGCTCCGGAATGCCTCCCCGAGAAACCCTACTGGAGTACTTGGACCCGGACGTCCAGAATCGGCGGCGCTGCGGTCGTCTTCTCCACCTCCGACCACACACCACCGCGCCTTGATATCTCGCTCTAGTGAATCTTCGCGCCTCGCATCTAGTCCCTAGGCTTCGACACGTCCTCCTGATGCCTCCGCCTCCAGCGCCGACAAGCTATGGGTCCCCAAGCTGTCTTCCCCGCCTCACCATGCTCTGTCGGCCACTGCCGCTGACGAGGACGTTGCTCCAGTGTTACCTCGTCGCGTCCGAGCACGCATACGTGCTCAAGGTGAGCCCTCCATCGCATTCCCCGTGCCACAGCGTGCCATGATGTGTTCAGTGACCACAAGATGAACGCACGGAAGGTGCTCGACGGAATGCCAATAGATAGAATGTTGTGAAGAAGATGACCCTCTAGTCATTGACAGGTGGGACCCACGTCTCATTTGCCACATCACTCGGTCAAAGTTTTTGATCGTCGCCACGTCAGCCCGATCAGTGGGGCCAACTTGTCAGTTTCACTGTTTTCGTGAGCTTATCAGATAATCAGTGCTCGGTGTTACGCATTAGTATACCTGGCCATACCTCGGGCCGGGCCTAGCCAAGCCCGACGCAAAAAACCCAGGCCCGGGCCCGGCCCGGCCTGGCCATCGGGCCTGTTTTCTGGCCCGAGCCCGGCCCAAACATGTAAAAGCCCGTCGAGCTCCGGGCCGAGCCCGGCCCAAACATGTAAAAGCCCGTCGGGCTCCGGGCCGGCCCGGCCCGACCTTCAGAAAAGTGCAAAAACGATGGGCCCGGCCCAGCCCGGCCATCGGGCTCAAAATCTAGGCCCGAGCCCGGCCTGGGAGCAGCGTCGGGCCGGGCTGGCCGGGCCGGGCTTCCCATGGCGAGGTATACGCATTAGGCACAGAACCGGTAGTTTTTTATTACTCTAGTTCCAAGTGTGATGGTTTTGGGTAAATAACTTTAAAAATGCGGACATGCAAAGTGGCATGCTTTGCTGGCTCGCCAGCTCGACCTTTTAGTTCATCACAAGTTACCCATCGGTGCAATCCATGATCTTCTATCAGAAAAAAAAAACTCCACGGTCTTCTTCTTTGGAGTATGAAATTTTGGTTGCAAACATATAGTACATCGGAGGTTTTCAATCGAACCTTCTAAACCAAGCATCATTGTGGTGTCGGTGCTAACTTCTGCTTTGACAGTAAGCATGATAACGGTCACGCGAGTAATTACAGACTGTGCACTCCCAAACCTGAGTGAACTCTCCGCGTACGTAAACTGAGCTCCACGCCGCTGCTTCAGTGCTTTGCACATCATGACGGTAGATACGATTCCTTTGTCAGTTACTTAGTGCTTGCGAACGGAGCTTCACGGTTGGGCGGTGGCGCTGCATCAGAAGCTTCTGCACTGAAGGCTATGGACCGCAGAGAGCAGAGGCGCATCGCACGCCACGCAGACGGCATATCCTATGCCCACTGCCCGAATGTGATTGGCATCCGTGACAGAACTTTGGATCGCTGTATATGATATGATCTATGCCTTGGTCGGTGGAGAAGAATAGATAGTGTGGCGTGCCGTTGATCAAGGAAGGGCCTAGGCCCTCTCGAGTGCGCGGAGAATGTGTGTGTGTGTGTTGAGAACATCCCCTGCTGCTGGATCACATCGCAATGAACCCCACCACTTTGATCCTGGAAGATCGCTACGCGAATGTGCCGCCAAGCCACTGAAATGTGCTCAGCTCCGCGAATTAAGCTGGCGTTGATGTCACATGAATGACCAAAAGGTTGATTGGATGAGTCTTGTTGTGTCGACGAACCTGACGGGCCGGGGCGTTGGCAGTTGCCATCACCACCAGACGCCTGTCCAGCGCGGGCACGGCAGTAGCATGGCATGGCACCCCCTCCGGTTCCGGAGGCAGGAGCACGGCGAATTTCATTGTCACGCCGAGCCACCGAGGTCCGAGGGCGCCCGTCCTGAAAAATAGGAAGAGACGATAGAGGCCCCCACGTTGTGGCGGGAGCGGGAGTAATCAATTTGAAGCTTTGGATTGGTGGGGCGGAACAACAGGTCTCGGGAAGCATTCCGATGGTCCCGGCCGGGGCCCCGGAAACTTTGGGCGGAGGAGGGTGACACGATCTGGGCGCCGAGAAGAATTGGTCCGCCGTCAGCGGGGAACAATGGGGTGAGAGACCGGCCGGTCAGGGCAGGCCAGGCGAGGCATGGGGTAGAAAGAAACAAGACTGGTGTTTGCGCGTGCCGAAAGAACAGCGAGTCTTTTCAAGGGCCTGACAGCATCAGCGCGTCGACCCATTCGGCTGTTTGCCGGCCTGCGCTTGCCAATCCTGTCAGGTATGGGAATGAACGCTTGCTATTAAAGCAACTCCAACGTGCTGATTCATTTCGTCCGTGCATGCCTGTTTAGGACAAAACAAACACAAAAATCGATTCAACACATCGATCCAAACGAACGCGTGTCTGTTTTTTGGCCGCCCGCCGACCCATTTCTGGCTCAAATTTTGATCTCATTTGCGTCGGTCGAGACATGAAACGGACGCGCGCGACGCTCACCTACTCCTTCCCTTGGCCCACCAGTCAGCGCACAGCCACCACCATTTCACCCTACTTTCCCAAAAAAAACTCCCGACCGCTCGCCATGGACGACGTGCCAACCCTCGACGTTGCCGCCGGCCTCGCCTCCGTCGCCTCCACCAAAGGCAAGCCCCACACGCCCCGCAAGACTGTGGCGCCGCCCAGGAAGAAGCAGATGACGTTCTAGCAACGGGTTGTGCAGTCAGCCAAGAGGAAGAGCCGGAGGCACGCGCAGGACCACAAGCTCGACGCCGCGACCGCCGCCGCATAGCAGGAGGAGACCAATGCCCGAGTCGCTGCAGCAATGAGGGAGACCCTGTTGTATCTAGGGTTAAACCCTGGCCATCAAGGGCTCATCAGCGCCGTCGTGGCTGCAACCAGCCTAGGCTCATCGGCATTCCCTCGGGTGGTACTGCCAGAGTCGTCGCGTGCATTTGCCATGCAGTCAATTCCCAGCTTCCATGTCTATTCGCAAGCCTCTCGCTTCTCTAGGGAATGCTCACCAGAGACCATTAAGGTGGACTTGAGCACGGTGTCGTCTAGGAAGAGGCCATGGTTCGAAAAGATGTAGGCTAACATGTTCATGTTTGGTGAGGAGTGATCTATGACGAAAAGCACCATCCTTCTTTGTATGACGTCAAGTGTGCTGGTATGACCACGGCCGAGATGGCGTGGTTGAATCCCGTCCTTTTTTTGTGTGTTGGCATGTATTCCGGCCACCGGCAAGTGCGCCAACATGAATGGTGTGGTGGATTTTTTGAAATCTGACATGTATGTTGGCCGCTAGCATGGCACCGTGAAACTTTAAGCGATAGCATGGACGCTGACATGATTGACTTTTAAAGATTATGTATGAACATGAAATGGATCGATGCATTGTGCACATGTCCGACCCAAACATAAAACAGAACGGATGGCGAGTGGTCAACCGATCTAAATGGACAAAAAGACAACATAACGTGTATCTGTTTGGGTCGGCACGATTGGAGTTAGGCCTTTTTTGGTTCATAGGATAGAAATGTTCTATGAATAGAAAAATCATAGGAAGTGAGATAACATGCATTTCAATTTCTATAAAAAAAGAGATGTCATTTGACGCATAGGATAGGAATTTTTCCATTGAGTCTTAACTAATGTTTTTTTCCTCTAAAATGTAAAGAATTGATTCCTATCCTATATAGGAATAGAAATCTATTCCTACCGACCAAAGAGTTTCAAAGAAAATTTTCTAAAATGTGACGAATTTATTCCTATCCTATATAGGAATAGGAATCCATTCTACAAACTAGAGGGTCTCAAAGGAAATTTTCCTACACACATCTTATCCTATAGAATTCATAGGAACCAAACAGGCCTTAGCTCTGACTGCCTCAACGGTGGCGTATGGAGCACCGTCTCGCTTCGTAGAAATAAACGCCACCTACCTAAAGCAGTACTAGGTACACCGTACACGGCCCTCCTACCACCATTTCCCCACTTTTTTATATATGTTCTCTCACTTTCTAATAGGGCTGGAAATCTTTGGCCTCCGTTAAACCACTCCAGAAGTGAGACTGTATGGTCCTCTTACCTTGCTCACTGGTATCAGCATATTCTGTTGAACATTTTCTAATTTCCAGACATATTATCCATAGCCAACTTGTAGGATGTACTCCCACAACTTGCTCTTTGGCTGCCATAACTTCAGGTCTATGGTTGGCTAAACAAAAACGGCCACTAGCACAGATGAACAGGGATTGCAAACACTACTAGTTTCTGTGAACAGAAATTTCCCTTGCCAGCTACCTAACTAATAACAGTTCAGCTACTAGCACAGATGCATCCCAATTCATACTTGCACGGCAGAGATACAAATAAAACGAGACACAAGAACATAATAATAGTTCACACAATCACTAATTTTCAGACATAAAATGCAAGGTTCAGATAAGCACCCACCAGGTGGATGATTTAAGACGACCAACGAACAAATGATCCAGCTCTACGAACATAGTATGGCACAGAGTACGCTACTGACATTACTACACACGACCAGTATTAGTAGTTCACGACACATGATAAGTGTTCAGCAGCAAAAGCAGACACAGATGCCCACCAGAGCGATTCCCACAGGCAAGGCAAGCACAGCACCTTAAGCCCTCTCGCCACGGATCCTCCTAGCCAGCTGAATGTCCTTGGGCATGATGGTCACCCGCTTGGCATGGATGGCGCACAGGTTGGTGTCCTCGAAGAGACCGACCAGGTAGGCCTCTGCAGCCTCCTGAAGGGCCAGCACCGCATGGCTCTGGAAGCGGAGGTCAGTCTGCACAGACAGAACAGGGCGGTGCTTTTAGCTTACTTGATTGATATAAGAGCTGACATAACAGGAGAAGAGCAATGTAGGGCACAAGTCGATTGATCACCTTGAAGTCCTGGGCAATCTCCCTAACAAGCCTCTGGAATGGAAGCTTCCTGATGAGCAGCTCCGTGCTCTTTTGGTACTTGCGGATCTCACTGCAAAGTCAAGCACAAAATTACTCATTTGAGAATACTTGAAAACAAAACCATATGCAATAACATGTGCTAGCATAGGTTGGAAGGCTTTACACACCGAAGAGCAACAGTTCCAGGGCGGTAACGGTGAGGCTTCTTCACTCCTCCAGTGGTGGGAGCAGACTTACGGGCAGCCTGTCAAAAAGCAAAACAGAGCACATGGTCATGAACAATAATACCATGATAATCCATATACATCAGTAAGATATCTGGTCATAAGCTGACAATGAAGGTTGAGGTTCAAATTATACACAGTTCAATTTACCTAAACCATAAATAAAGACATGGCATAGATAAACTATCAATATTGCAGTCACAAACCTTGGTGGCTAGCTGCTTCCTGGGAGCCTTTCCTCCAGTGGACTTACGGGCGGTCTGCTTAGTACGAGCCATGAGCAAAACCTTGGTTTACCTGAAGCAAAAACAGAACATAGTCAGTTCTATAAATTGAATATCACAATATCACAAAAACAGAATGCAGTGTATTTCTAACTAAAACTTTTCATTCAAAAGATCAGACCCAAGATAGAATTCCACTTCAGATGAAAGTCCTGATCTACCTTTAGCATAGTTTGTTCACTCAAAAGACACACATAAAGATGACACACTAAAAAACTGCAGCCTAGTATTTTTTTTTAACACTAAAGAAAACAAGGCTACCATGATCGCCTAACCAGAAGCAAGAAAAGAAATAGCAGTCCACTGATAAAAAATATGCTTCCTAGTTATCACATGTAATGGTCGGACATCAACTTCACATAGTTATCTGTGTATGCTTTTAGTTTATCACAAGAATAACATTAGCTAACTAGCAAGTTGGTACAATTCAGATGCAATAAATCAATACTAAGATATGTTAAGCAATCGACTATTTTCAAAATGGCTATGCAACTGCTTCCATATATCAATGCACCCAATTGACTTCCACTATCAGAGTAGACAAGTATATTAGTTCATCCTGTTACTATCATTCCCAGATACCTAGACTGCAGGTTGCTCTCAATACCAAGCTCAAAACAGTAACAAAATTACATTTGCACTGACCACATGCTGTATGCAGGACTTTAGAAACTGAATATCCCAATATAAACACTATGAGCTCATGCCAATTCTTTCCAACCGTACAGTCCTAAAAGAAACTACCAACCCGCAGATACCGAATTCTCCAAACGTTAGTTCAACTCATCAAAAGATATAGCACACACGTCAATAAGTCGAAGCGAAATTTATACCACTGTAACACTATGAAACTACAGATTTGAGGGGCCAGCAGATGAACAGACGCAAATCAAATATGGCACAACTAACGAACTTGGGTACAACTATGATGTACGCGAATCTACAGATCTGCGGGAATTCTTTTGAGGGCTAAGACGCGAAATCATATATCGTCAAATCACGCGATTGGAACTTGAACTACATCGATCGGTCTGCCACCAAACAACAAAACCACCATCAAGTAGGCACAGGTAATCGTGACTAAACGAAATTTAAGCAAGGCTTAAGACCCGAAAGAATCCGTCGAAACAATCAGAATCTGGAACCACGCCCAAACCCTAACCGCGCATAAAATTCAAATCCGCGCCGTGTTAAACCCGAATCAACCGCCCCGGCGAGATTAACGCGGACCGATTCACCAACCACGGCGGGCCACGAAGGAATCAAGC